CTTCCCCTCTCCTCTTTTCCTTCCTTTTGGGCTGTATGCCACTGAGTGTTACAGAATCACGTTTGGGCTGATTGAAACTGATTTCAGGAGAAGAGAGAGTGACAGACGTCCCTTAGACAGCTGCTAACCCTGGCAGTTTTGATGGATCCTGCTGAAGAAGGTCAGGATTGTTTACCCACTGAGTTGTCAGGTTGTTCAAATCTGCTAAAAAAGACTTACAGTCAGTGACGCTTTCTACTACTATGTCAGTCTCCCAATGAGACTTTTAAAATCAAGCCAAGAACTTTGTTCCTTCCCCACTCATGGGAAGCAAGTTACGCCTTGATTTGGTAACCTTAACTTGTGTTTCAAAATATTTTCCTGAATGGTCTTCACTGTTCAAATACCTCACTTTGGTTTAGATGAAACATTAATGTTAACTCATTTTGAATAAGAAAGTGTGGCTTGACTTTGAGCTTATGAGGCAAAAGAGAAAGATGTTAGCACTGTACATCAGGTAGGTTGTCATATACAGCATATGCTGGTGCCAATGTATCTCAGACAAAGCAGACCAGTGGAATCTGTTTGAACAATCACAAGCTCAACAATCCCAACAAAAAAATATAATGGCTTGAGTGACCTGAGTGATGAGATAAAGATGTGATTCAAAACTTTTTTCTCTACAGAATCATGAAGATACTATAGATAGCTAGTGCTTACAGTCCTGCTATCTTCCATGGATAGAAGACTTCAGTTTGCAGGACGGTCAACTCCAGCAGATTCCCCCAGCCCTTACAGTTGGCACTTAGGATTTTCAGAGCTCATAAAAGATCAGTCTCATCCAGCTCTGTTGAACACAGTATGATTTGTGTTCTTAAAATTTGCCTTTGCCCAAAACTGTAGATTTTGGGAGCAAATCATGAAATAAAGCATTATTTTTTAACTCGAACCTTTTAAAAGAAGAAATAACTGACAATGAACTTTCAAGGGAACTGTGCTTCAGGATAAAGAAGTAAAGACTATTTGGCTTACACAGGGTGAAGCAATACTGTAGCTTCTCTACAATATCACTGTTCAGAGAAACATCATTCCACAGCACATCTTTCCTTAATGACACAGGTCAGGAGCATGACGAAAGTCCTAAGGCAGACTTCTTTTGTCCTCCAAAAATCATTACATGGGTATTTCAAAAGCCAAGGGAGATCAGCATCCTCAGTCTACTTCTATCATCCAGATAGTGATTTGAAGCTGAAATTGCTGTCTAGCTTCCTTGGTTAAGTTAAACTAGCCATTCATCTTGGGATTTGAAATAAAATTCCTGTTTGCTTTTTCCCAAGTGGGACTGAAGCATTCACCTCTTCCCAGAGCAGTAATATATCCCAAACCTCCCCAGATTAGTTCAGCTACTGAGGATCAGACCAAACATCCTATAAATATGACGCATTGTCAGGCATTGTTAGACCACCGCTCAAGGATTTACTTTGCTACACCACAGAATTGGGAGGAAACTTAGCAAGAAAGATAAAAAGAGAGATTTCAATATTGCTTTAGGCTTTATTTCCAAATTAAGTAGTTTTAGTGTGGGTTGAAGATGACATAGGAGCTGCAGAGCATGTTGAATTGATTTTGCCAGGTATGTGCCTGCATGGTGTTGCCTTTTAATTTAGTAACTGGAGAATTAATCTGTTCTGGTAGTGCAAACAAGTTAGTTAAGCAGGAGTCAAGAAGAGCTGCAGTGTTCTGGTTGGCTAAGACTTCTTAGGAACAAACTAAATATCAATATAACAAGAATGACTAATCTGCTTTCCTTCCTGCTAAATTAATGTGAAGCCAGAGCTATGCATAAGTTGCACAGCTGGTAGCAAAGAGCTGGTTAAGATGCTCCCCAGACCTGTGAGTCTCTGAAATACTTTTCAATAAAAAAAATTCAGTATTACACCATTACAAAGAGAGATCTAAATGATTATAACCTTTCAATATGTTTTGTAACTCGGAACATTTTATTTAACAAAATGTCTTGTTCCCTAGAACATGCTTGGGAAAAAACTTTGTCTTGTAAGACATAGCAGGGAGGTCGGAACTAGATGATCTTAAAGGTCCCTTCCAATCCAAACCATTCTATGATTCTAAGACTGCAGAATGGACACTCCATGTTTTTTCAGTAACTGAAGGAATCCAAATGGGCAAGAAGAAAAATACAAGCTGGTAGTGTTTCAAATAAGCTTTCGTTCTTTCAAAAATACAAAACAGTAAAAATATCCCAGTGATAATTTTCTTCATTTCCCAATCACCATCACCATCTCCAAACACAATGTCTATGTTTGGCAACAGATGAAAACACAGATTTTGATTTGTGATTAAAATGGAGGGAGGGAAGATCATGTGCTCCATGCTGACACTTCAAGATCCCACTCATTTTTTTTCTATAAGGAGTTACAATCACTAGTGTCCATACTGGAGATCCCTTGGACAGTACAAATGGAAAGAAAACAAGATATTCCCTGGGTACCGTGAAACGAGTCTGACTAGAAGTAACTGACTGGAAATATTCAACATTCTGGGAAAAAATATGTTTGTTCAAAGCTCTCAGTTGCTTGAGTGTACAGGATGAAACTGAAGTGCAGACAGAAAGTAGAAACACTGAAAAAACATTATTGAATTATTTTTGTCTGAAAACCTACCATTATTGGTCACTGTATTCAAAAGCCTTCATTCACTGCGGATGTAAACTCAACTGAATTAAGGTTATTATAGAGGATTAATCTCTCAACCAGCTCATCCCCAATGAATGATTCCAAAGATGGCTGCTCCCTGCAATTTGTGAGTCTTAAAATCCTACCTCATTCTCTGAAACACTGTTGGAAATCACCTAGAAATGATAACTGATGGAAACATTACAGACTTTCTTCTTTCTCCCTTTCTCTCTTTCTTTTAATTTTTATTTATTTATTATTTATTTTTAATTGCTTTGAATTAGTAACACACTCAGGAGATATTGCGGCTCTCTTCATTTTTAGCCTACTTAGTTCTACATGAACACGTGCATATACTACATTGAAGTATTTCATTTGTATACATCAGGCTATCTACATTTTACCACATGGAGGTATCACACCATTATTAGCTCTTTTCCTTAGATAAACTGAAGTTTGCTTTAATATTCCTTTCTGTGCATGATCTTGCAAAAGAAATGAGGCTTTCACACAAAAGCTCTGTTTTTAATGTGTAAATATCTCATTTGATTACACACTTTATTTGGTCTTTACGTTATCATGAATATTTCTGATCAATGTTTTATGGATTAGGTTTAGGATTTGTGAGCTTTTTCAAATTTCATCTGTTTGCCACACCATTTGCAAATACTGCATTCTTTGTTGATGTTGATTGGTCTCATTTACATATTTATCACACTTCTACTTTCAAGGGTATTTTGCTATAGAATGTCCCCATTTCTTCTCCATGTTCTAATAGTACATAGATACACTTTCAAACTGAGCTCATTTCCATTAGTAATTATTTTGGTTAACAATAAATCGCCACTTAGAGACATTCCATTCAGTGTGATGGTTAATTTCATAAATATCTGGCATATGGTTTCTGAGTAATTAAAGACAATGGGAGCAATTTATAATGCACTTTTGCAGCCCACTTCACAGTCTAGGGAGCTGAATGTTTTTTCCATAAGGATTGCATTTAAAGGAATCCAGCATGACTGGGGAGAAACAAGTTCCAAACTGGTGACACAGCACTGATCTTTTTCCTAACTAGTGATTCCTGAACACAGAAAACAAGATCTTTATTTTCTCTATTTTTTAACAATCACAAACATCAACAACAAAAATACTCTTTTCTGTAGTTCTACATGCTATCGACCAAGACCTTGAAATCCTCTAGCATCTTCACTTCTTATGCTTTCTGGTTTGCTAAGCTTCCTCTATATTCTTAAACAGGAGCATGAGATGATAAAAGGAGAAGACAATGCAGAGAAATGCAGGCAGTTTTGCTCTTATAAAAACAGAACTGAAAATGGTACTGACCTTGAAGTGCATTTCCTCACTGCTACTCAGGCTCTTCTTGGACAAACAGTATATTTGCAACCCTCACCAGTGAAGGTACAAACACTGAATGAATTTCTAAACAAAATGTGATTTACATATATATGAAATAATTTAGAAAAACACAACATGCCCCAGAATAGTTCATATTTTACAGTGAATTTTATCTTTTCTGGTGCTAGCATCAGTTAACCTGTAGACTTGTGGTAGCTAAAGAATTCTAGGAAATGTATGTATGGTAACTGTTGTGTCATAGCCTGAACCACTGATTGATCACCTGGGGGAAGGACTGGGTCAGCCCTGGGAGCATGGATGAAAGGATGCAGCTTGGCTGCATCTCTGGTTGGAGATCCCTTCCTTGTGGAGTTTCTATTGCAAGCCTAGACCTTCCGAGACAGGTGAGTGCTTTTCCTTTTTCTATTGTAACATCCTCCTATTGCACTAGTCCCTTTGCTGTTACAACATATGACCAAGCATTTTCTTCCTTGTCTTGGAGTGCTGCAATACATTCACCACAGCAGACTAATGGGTACCTGCAACATCTGTTCATCAAAGGCACTCATAATTATAACTCCGGGCTTATTAGTAAAATTCACAGAAATTAGATGCTTGCTCTCTTTATGTTCTAAGAATTTCAGAACTATCCTGTGCAAGAAGCTTCTCACATACGCCCAGCCATTGACTGCAACTCTTCGTATGCAATTACAATGGCACTCCCTACTGAACCACTCCTTTCACTGAGAGGACAGCCCAGCTACTTGATATAAAAATGTATTTGTGACAACAATGCTTTGGAACATAATCTGAAAAATGGAAAAATTGTTTTTATTTTTAAATGAAAAGATGAAACTAGGTGGAGCTCAGAGACAGGGGTTACTCATGGGCAGTAAAAGGAGGAGCTGCAACAAGAAATTGCTGTTTAAAGTAAAACAATTGTTGACTGATAAATATTGACAAAATACATACATTTTCTCTAGGTCACGAAGTCCTGTGAAAGCTCCCTTTGGAATGACTCTGATCTTGGTGAGGACAAATCTCCTGAAAATAGAGAAAATGGGGTGATTATTCACTGTTCACAAAACAGTGTGGCAGCCTTGCCAATACACCTTTTGCCCTGATACAAGGAGAGTTTCCAGCCTGAAGGCTTCACAGCCAAAATAACAGCTATAATGTTTGCAGGCTTCGTGGGATTCCAGCTGCCTGCCTGGACCAAAATTACAACACTGTGTTGGGTTGCCTCTGGTGCTGCTGGGGAAAGATTATCCATCAGTGAGTGGCAAGTTCCCTGCTGGCTTCAGTAAGAAATAAACACCTGGTCACTGCAGCTTTGCTGCACACTTGGAGGGAGCTGTGTCTTTTTCATCTCATCCTCTCCTCTGAGAGATGCTCAAGCACAGGATGAAGCAGCCCTGTAGAGTTTGGATTGGGATTTTGAGTTGCTTATGCAAGGCGGTAAGGTGCTACATGCATGTTCATGTAAGATAAGCCATAACCCGCTCCACAGATAATTTAAGGAGTCAGCTTGTATCTCCCATCAGTGCCACTTTAATACTCCTTATTGCTTCTCACAGTCTCTCTTCTAATTAGTTCATAATATGCCGTAAAATTGGAACTTTGGAATACACAACTCTACTACATAGGGACCAAGATAATACTTTAATCATTTTTTAAAGTTCACAGAAGATCCTTCATGAAGAATAAATGTTTGAAATATCAGATAAACCTTGTTGTTAACCTGAACTCAGCTTCTTTTATTACAGTAAACAGAGGACTACAAAACATTGAAAAACAAAACAACCACCAACAACAAAAAGAACAGTTCAGTATCTACTACACCTTAAAGAAGTTGGAACTCGGGCTGGTATTGCCTGCTATGTAGTCCTGCACATTTTAACACAATACTTAAAAACTGGAGACATTATTCCTTATTGTTCACATGAACTACTTATAGAATCCTTATTTATTTCAGCTGATGAGTTTAGAATTTTCACATGAGAGCATCATGTTTTAATCAAAACTTAGGGAAAAAGTACATCATATTCTGATAGAGTACCATTGTGATAGGTTTCTATTTTTTAAATTCTAGGTCTTCAGTAGAATCTATCTCCTCATTTAGCTCTAGAGATGTCAGTAGGATTATAGCAGCAGTGAGTTTTGCCCCATCCTATTTTAAGCACTGAAATGTGTGGCAATCTCAGTCCTGAAAGATAAAAATTTGGTATTCCATTATTCTTGCACTATTATTAATGTAAGTTAGACAGAGCTTCTGTATACTGTCACACAAATATTACAGCATTGAGATCATTATGCAAATGCTTGAAGGATTAAAGGGCTTCCAGAAAAGGCCTAACCTGGATCAAGCAATTTGTAAAGCCCTACTAAAAGCACAGTCAGTATAATGCATGCAAAGCTATGTCTGTGCCTTCAGAGTTCAGATATTGGATCTGTGCAGAATGCTCAGCAGGCTTAGTGCTGCAAAGCTGAACCATCAGGCAACTGTTTAACTTTGATCTACTTTGAAACCTTTCCTAACCTCTCCTTTGTAGAGACATGCCTAATTTTGGCACTATAGAAAGTGGGTTCAGTCTGAAAAGCCACTTATGTATTTTTATGGCAATACTCTGAAAAGAATCCTCTCTGTAGATCATCAGTAGATTTGCAATTCTTTAATTAAACACTTTACCCCACAAAGAATTTACAGCCTGACCCTAACACTAATTAAAAGAAGGGAGCTTCATTCATAGATGACGTTACCTGTATAAGTAATGCTGTATGTGCATAGAAGAATCAAACCTTGGGCTTCTTTGCTGAATAGTCTGCAATCCTGTGCTAATAAGGAGCCAGAATTTAGGAGCTGCATGCCTAGTGCCTTGGAGCAGTTAAGGTAGAACTGAAGTTTAATAGCTGAAGTTTCACATTCCACTTCATTAGATTAAGGTTAATTGTTTTTAAACATCCCCACGTAGGCTAATAAAGTCAGCTTTAATGTTATAACTAATATTGAAAATTAGAATCAGTTACTTGTTGAATTATCAACTGTGCAATGAATAGGAGTCCATTACAACTATTGGAATGCTGTATTGTCAATAAATCTCACCAATTAGGCTCCAAGAATCAATCTGCACTCTACTTGAGATACCAGCTATTCAGTAACAATTTTTGCTGGGGCACGTGGGGAAAAGAACTGAAAAGGATTTTCTTGGTTTTGTGATTGCAATTGTTTTAAGGCCAAAGAAATAAATACAGCCTATCTTTGGTCAAGCATGTTTCATGCCAAACAAAAAAGGTGTCCTTCAAAAACATGTACTTAATGGAGAAAAGCACTGTTTGGTCCTAACAAATAATGCTAGGATTTAGGTACCCAAACAGAAACCACAGAAAACCATAAATGTTCAGCACATGGTGCGGAATTAAAAACCCAGAGCCAGGTGCCTGGCACAGGGCATGAGGAATGTTAGACTAAGGATTACGTGATCCAAAAATCTGTACCTTGTGCAGGCAGTTACATGGATCTACATCTCATGTCCAACACACCTAGGTCTTCCATACCCTCAATATATTAAAAACAAACAAAGAAAAACAATCCAGAGAGCTCTTCTCACAGCATCTTTACTGGGATGGAAGAAAGCTTCGTGCTCCCCTGATGCTACCCCAGCAGCAGAAGGACAGACACAGGGAATGGAGTTCCAGCATCGAGTCCCTCCCTCACCTCAAATAGTGCTTAGCAGCCAGGAACCTCTCTCTGTGCCCTACTGCATGTGAAGCATTGTACAGCCAAGGCTATGAAACTCCTTGTGCCACCAAGGAAAACAAGAGAGAGCTTAACCCTAGCATTCTTTTAGAGACATTACAGTTAGATTTGATTTCTCTTGGACAGGTTAAAAAAAATGTAAATATATATATACATAGATACAAGATCAAAGTTCACTGATGTTAGTGTTATCATTATTTATGCTACAGTTCATCCAAAAAGTCCTTGCAAGATCTCCAGTGTTGGGACCATCCAAAGCTTAACACATAATGAGAAAAGAAGAAAAGGAAACATGGTTACCTTTCATCTTATCGGGCTGGAAACAGAAGAACTGTATAATAACTGTATTGTATAATGATATGCTATCACTAAAAATGGTTATTGCCTATGGACAGCAGTATAAGCTAGATTTTAATCTGGCTCAGTTTTCCTGTGGAACCTCTTATGTCCAGAGAGGATTTACTTTTGTTGAAGGTCATTCTTTGGGACTTAACCAATAGAAACTGAAGTTAGTTGCCACTGCCATGCAAAGCCAGATATACACTGCATATATATAAATATATATATGCATACATAGGCACTTAAATATATTGTATTACATAATATTTAACTGATTTTTTCCACTTCAGTATTCTGATTGAGAATAGTTTTCTGTTGTGTGGTAAAATATTTTCACACCTGGAGAGAGAATTAATCTCATGTAAGATCAGGTGATATTTCTCTGTGCTGAACATGCCCAATTCCTACAGGACTTCCCATGTCCCACCTCTAATTTCTATGCATCTATATGTCTTTTATCACTTCTAGTTAATCTTAGGGAACACTATGAGTAAATTTTTCGATTACAAAAATACTAAAACACTGTTGCTAATTAAGGCTGGGCCTGTCAGAATTATAGCAGAGCTATCACCTACTATTTTATTTACTTATACACAGACATCTAAGCCTGGTTATTTAAGAGGGCAAGGTCTCAGTTGATATGAAGCCACTGACACAGATGACTTGCACATTATATCACAATGAAGGGCATACAACCCAAATATATCTCATTTCTATATTGTTGTGTCTAGTTCAAAAGAAATGTCATAGTGCCAAGTTTATCTCAAAGTGTGTAGAAGATGATGCAAGAAACAGAAGTTAGCAGGTAAAAGTAAAATGATCCTGAATAACTAATATTTTCAAGCTACAAAGAGATGTATGAAACCTTTCCCTAAAGAGTCTTCAGCAGCTGAAGTAGTTCAGACAGACAGAATATAAGAATGAAGTTGAAAAGAATTTTCCAGAAAAATTAATATTCTTCCACCTAGCCCTCTATGACCACAGTGAAAGAAAGTAGATCAACCACACCACAAAGAGACAGAAGACTGGATAGAATTATTCAAGCATCTGGTGCCTAAGGTACGGGTAACTAAAAACACTTGGTAAATAAGATTAGAAAAGATAAATAAGGGTCATTTCTGCAAATTGTCTCTAAAAACAGAGGTGCATAGAAAATGTGCAAAGTGGGTGCAGTGAGAAAATCAACATAAATATGCTGTGCTTGTAAGGTTAGTCACTTAGGTGTGAAACACTGTATTTTCCATATTCATCAAATGAGTTCTCAGACCCTGCTGCCACAAGTTTTTCCTTAAGCAATTACAAAGAGATTCCTTGACAAAAGTCTCCACCAGAATTTGCTCTGATTGTGCTGGTATCCCCTCTTCCCAGCTCCCTTCTCTGGAAAATGCCCCCCATCACCAGCTATGACCTTGCCCAACAAACAACCGCAATTATTGAAAATCAGACTTGGAAATAAACTCATTAATTTCTGCTTCATTAAACGTGGCTGAATACAGTTCTTACAAAACATTCTAAAACTCATTTCTCTTATCTACACAGCTAATCAGAAAGTGTGTGTCTTGTAGAATTACCTCCCCTGTAAATTGCAAATTCATGATGTTAAAATGAACTACATCAAGAAGACAGCATAAGCTTTAGATCATAAGGACCAAAGGAAAACAAAACAAAAAAGCCTAAAATATTCCATGACCATAATGCTAAATCACCAAATTGAGTTCCAAGTAAATAAACGCAACAGGATGTTGAAAGCCATTTGACTTCAGTCTCCAAGCCAACATACTGATGCTATCACCATCTAATCTTCTGCAGTACCATGTGTTTTGTCAGACCGAAAGATTTACAAGAAGATTTAATTTACTCCTTTTATAATTTCTTTGGTTGCATCTTTGGTACTGCATCTTGCTTTGGAGATTTGCTGGAGGCCCCAGCAGACAAGTCTGCCTTAGAT